TCGTGTTGAAGTTCGAATTGATCAAGATGTATTTAATGGAGGACTGGCATTGGCAGGAAAAGCAAAGACAGAGCGTGGCAAGGTCGTGCACAGTATTGATTGTAATCAGACATCAAACCATTTGCTTGGACTCAAATGGGATGAACGTATTTTTAACGAAAATGGTGACTTTGCATTTGTTATTGAAGGAACTGTGCGTTTCTGGTTGGCTAGAAGGAATCCCATTCAAGAATTCAAGGTAATAGGGGGAAAGTACATCAAATCTGAAATAGAGGACAACTTTTATTTAGCATTTACATTTGTTAGAGGAGATGGAAACAGGCATAATTATGCTACGAGGAACTGACTTGTTTTTATCCATAATCTCACTTTATAGTTTATATATTTTTTTAATCATTCTGCAGATAACAATATAAACAATGTCATAATTAATTAATATAAACTGTATTGATACGAAGGGAAAGTGTTATGAGTACCAAATTGTGAGTAAAGCAGGCTTCAGTTTTTATTCTGGCCCTGGATAGTCCCAAAATGTTTTCATCTTCTGCTTCACTGCAACGAAATTATTTTTCCATTATTTTACATCTCATGAAACTTGTTTTAAAATGCCGTTTTTTGTGGAATCATGGAGGTTGTGATTTTGTTTTCTGTAATCTATAAATAAACAACAGCCTCAAATTGTAACTTTGCACTGTGATACATCTAGGTAACCAGAGAATCAATGTTTCTCTACCATTTAAAATGTATCTCTATGAAGCACCAGAACAACATTTTGGGACCCATTTACCTTCACACTTAACAAGGTGTGCACAGGCAGGTGATCACAATGTTTACATTGCTTGGTGCAGGTCTTGATTGTATGACCTGGACTGGAACAGTTACTGCATTTGTAATTCTGTTTCACCCTCTCATACCCAGCTGCTTCCAAAAATTGAATTCTGTATTTCTTTAAGAGAAGCTGTCGCAAAGCAGAAATTCCTCTGTGGTTAGAGGATCTAAAGTAATTCTTAGAAGCTACATCATTATATTTCTCCATACCCTGCTGATTAAAATATGCAATGTTTTTATACAACTTTAAAAACTCAGGAACATGAAAATATAGGGCATGCATATATGGTGTGATGTCTTTGGCTTGGTATAGAGACAAGAAAATCTTAAACCACCCCTCAATTTTTTCTTTAAGGTGATCAATTGACTGATCTGTTGGAAAATCAAGTTTTAAATCACCAATGATGTCCATGAACCCACCCCATAGTAACTGAAGCTTTTCTGAATTGTTGTAACCAGGCAAAAGAGAAGAGAACTGAATATTTTGCATGACCTTTAGTTTTTCAGGACCCGTGAGATCTCTATAGTCCAGTTTTTTTGTGTCTTTGTTTATTCTCCACTCAAAAGAAATGCCAAGGGTTTTGAGAAACGTTTCATATGCTGCCATATGTTTAAATTTCTCTCGAGAAAAACCATTGTGAAATGTTGTTATCTTCTCACAAGCATCCTTTCTCCTTAATTCCCTGATTAAAAGTTCTGTTAAATTATCTGATATGCAGAGAAATAAATGTAAGGTATCAATAATGACATGATCAAATGGTATGAAATTAATAATGGAGTTGCTTTGCAATTAAACTTTTTTGATTTGGCAAAGCTTGAAATTTCCTCCAGTGATCTGGCACCCTGAGCACTGTTAGAAAGTGACCATACCCTTTGGATGTCATGTTTCTGGTTGCGAGGGCATTTGCACCAGATACAGGCGTAGTCTTGGCTAGCAGCCCCCAACCCACAGACACATGCCAGGAACTTCCAATCCCCACCGAGAAGGTATTCAATATTATAGGTTTTACCCTCAACTGTTACCTTATTTAATTTCGACATTTCTTGTGTTAAATCAGACAGACTTTCCTTCAAATTGTCATAGTTTTCACTTGTCTTGAGTATAGCCAGAACATAATTGCCCTTCTCACTCATTGCAGCCTCTTTCTCTTTTAAAATTGTATATGTTACATTTCCTAGCTTAAGTCTTTTTCCAATGTTTGTGCCATCTCCACTTATCTTCACCCCAATGGTATCTCCTTCTAAATCTCCCTTCCTTTGTAAGTTGGCAATTTGTTCCTCGAGGCTTTCTTTGAAGTGGATTTGCACCCCTTCTGCTTGACCAGGGGTATCTCTTATTTTCCATTGCTGGTT